TATATAATATATTTCTAAAGAAGTGCGTGCTGCACACGCTCACAAAACATACAAACGATTATTATTATCATCCTCGTTATCATTAGCATTATCATATCATTATCATTATCATTATCGTTATCATTATCATATCATCTCCAGCATCATCCAGACCCCTATCATTATAATCTTCGATTAGACATACATATTTTTATTTTCGTTTTGCTCTTGCTTCGCTTTGTATATAAATGTCCGTGTGCGTTAATCTAAATAGAACCTTTGCTACGCCAGCGTTCGGGCACTTGAGGACCAGCCCGAGTGGGTTTGGTGGGGGGTGGGGGCGAGGGGCTAGGCCTAATAGTTGTTAGCATCTGGGGGCGGCGTTGCCAGGTACTCATCGGGTCGCTTGTGCTCGATGAGAGCGCGCACGGTGCCGCTGTCCGAAGGCAGATCGGATTTTCGTCGTATTAGCGGTTTCTCCTTGTTCCGTTCGCCGCGAATCTGTGGGCAAGGGCGAGAGCGAGAGCGTAATGCACACGTAAAGCATTTTTTAATGTTGCTCCCCTGCGGAGCCCCACACTGATTATCGGTTACATTTAACGATTAACGATTACAATATCTGTAGATGTTATTGTTGCCGGTGCAGTTGAATGACGTGACTCAGAGAATGCGTGCTAAAATTATTTACCGTGGCACCACGTTTAAGAACCACATCACACATACATATATACATATATGCTCGCACACATACATTCATATACAATATATAATTAAAGATAAACATATCTATATATAATAAAAGCAGTAGTTGGACTTTAAATTGAGTAGAAATTGGTAGGAAAGGTGATTTAACATTAATTTGGAAAATTATTTTCATTTCTCACTATCTCATTTAGCATTTAGATATTTATGATATTTTATTCAAATCTATTCATTTAAACTGCCATCGAAAGTTTATCGATTTCACGAATACGTTTACTGGCATATTTACAGGACAAATTTTCCCTAGGAAAAATAATTGAATTCCATTAATTTTGTTAATTTTTATTGCATGGGCAACTCTTTCGATACTTCGATCTATTATAATCCAAAAAATTTTCTGTGACATCAGCTAAAAATTACACTAGCTAAAATGCATATTTCGTTTATAATAATTAGATATGTTATTGATAATGAATAATAAATCGACCATTAATGCTGTTACAAACTATATGTGTGTTTGACCTAAATGTATTTAAGTGGTTTTATTGTCAAGCTCCATCAGTTGCAGATGTCCGATATTTCAGTGTTCATTGAGGAAATTAGATAGGTGAGGGTATGGGCGAGTAGGCATTAGTATTAATAGTGCAGTAAAAAACGATTAAATAGGTTGTACATATATTAATAGATACAGATAAAGATAAAGAAACATATATTTATAACTGGAGCGAGTGTGATTAGTTCATTCGTTCTTAGCATTAGTGACAGGTGGTTGAAGGATAAGCTGGCTGGTTGTTGCGCAGGCACACAATCAAACACACACATATGCTCTCACATACACATACACATACACGAGTGTGATCGCGTTCAGTTAGTAGTTGTGTAGTGTGGTGAGTGTGGCTAGAGCTTGTCTCACCTCTCTGGGCTCCTGGTTTGGCTGTTGCTTTAGTGACGTCTGCGACTGCGTTTGCAACTGCTGCCTGGGCTGTTGCTCATTCTTTTCGTAGGTTAGATCACAATTCTCATTGTATTGATCGTATAGTATTTGACTATCGGACGTTGGCAGGCCGTCAACCTCGTAGCGGCGCGCCTTCGTCCATTCCGGATTGGTTTTGGCAAGGTTTTCCACTTGTTGCCACAGCTCCTCGCGTTGCGTAAGCTTTTCCCGCTCGCTGCATTGATAAAAATATATATATATATATATATATGTATTATATACATAAGGTATAAGTCCAAAAGCTTTCTTCTTTTTCTTACAGCTGCTTCTCCTGCTTGTAGTTCTTGCTGCACTCATCGAATAGCCGTTGATTCATCTCCATGAACAATTTGAGTGCATTGTAAATGAGGCCGTGAATAGTCTTATTCCAGTGGGTCTTGGAGTTACGATTAAGCGCTGGAAACATGATGGGCAGAATGGTCTGAGAGTTGTCCGCTATCAGAGACATAATGTACTCATTGTTCCAATAATAAAGTGCGCGCTCAGCCACTTGGAAATGCGGCGAGGAGACGCACTTAGCTATCTGCCGAAAGAGCGGTACCATCACCTTCTGAAATTCAGCAGGCTCAATGACATCGAGCAACTCCTCCACCTCGTTCAAAAACATCACCTCCTTGGGACTGTGAGTTTTCGGCCAAAACTTTAAAAGACTTCTGCAAATAGTATTCGGCAAAGAGTTAAATTTAGTTGTAATACAAAGAAATGAAAATGAAGAAATGCTTACTTGATAACCGCCTCCGATAAACTGGGATCCTTCTCAAGGAACTGCACCACGCAATAGGTCAGCTGCGGATGGTAGACGGAGAGACTTTTGGCTTTGTGCAACGGCAGCAATACCTTAAGTAAAAATTGTTTGTGCTCCTCCTTGAGCGGCAAAGCGAACCCGTTAATGATGCTGCCCAAGATTTCCAGCAGCTCGGCAATGCCATTATGATGCTCCGTTTCATAGATAAATCTGTCAACGATTGGTTTGAATTGATTCGCTTGTATCTTCTTGCACATACTTTGATAAATAATTAAAAAAAGGAAATAAATGTAATATTTACCTGTAAAACACATTGTTGATCTGCTTTCTAATAAATGCCCTCAATCCCAAGAACTTGCCATAGATGCGGTGTAAAACAGTCTTAAGGAAATCACGTTCACGGGGATCCTCCGAATCGAATAAATCCAACAATTGTAATACAAATTGATGATCAATATAACGTTTCGCAATATTTGGCTGGAAATCGGGCGATTCCAAAAAACGCAAAAATAGTTCATAGACCAATTGCAAATGTGGCCAGGATGATTCCAGTGTAGGCTCATCCTCTTCTGGGTCAAACTCAGCGCCATTTGGATTCGACGAAGGCGGTAGGGTTCGAAATAGATTTACGGAAAACTAAACGCAACGAATACAGTTAGACGTTGATATTTTTCTTAACATGTTCCCTTACCATGTTGATGGCCTCCGGATATATATTCTCTGTAATAACGCCATTCTGATTGGATAGATACTCCACCATCTCGTGCAGGGCGGCTCGCTTCACCTCCTTCCATTTTAGATCGCTTAGCGGCTCGGAGAAGTCGAACAGAGTGCAACATTGTCGTAGCTTCTGCAAGAACAGCTCCTCCCGTTCCTGCGCAGGGGTTTCTATGGACGCAAATAATCAAAGGGGATTTGTTAGTCTCTGTATTTGGAGGAGGTATAGTAAAGCGCTACGGAATTGAAACAAAGGCGAACGAAACAACAAAAACAACTGACAAAAGCAAGCTAAACTAAAAACAAATTGTTTCTTAAATGGAAGCTAAGGTAGGAGGAGCGTAACCAATAGGAACCTCGCAGTGGCGGCAAAGCCAGCGCAGTTGATGCGTTGGGCGGCGAATGAAACAGATTCCGATCGCGTGCACGTCCTGGACTTCCAGTCAGCTGCTGCAGCGTCTGCGACGGCGACGACAGAGTGTGGCCAATGACATCGCCATTCTGACGCAGCACCGAGACAGACGTTGCCGATGATGACGACGAGGACACAGTTGATGAGGTCGATACCAATGCCACAGTCGCTGCACTATTACTGCCATTGCGCTGGCCAATGCCCAGGGAAATGCTAATGCCACCGACCAGATTCTGTGCCACTGTCGAGCGCACCGGCTCGTCAGTCGCCACTGTTCCTTCGCTGCTGCTGCCGCTTGTGCTGCTGCTGTTGCTGTTGCCCACACTTTTCGTGGCATTCAATATGTTCTTAATGGCCGCGGCGGCGCTCACGGGTGACTGTTGAATGATGTTTGAGAGTGGGTTGCGTGATTTTGATTTATGAAATGAGTAGAGCAGAGGAAGTTCTTTCATTATGTGTACAACATTTGTCTCTCTTGTCTGTGTGTGTGTCTGAGTGTGCTTGTGTTCAATGGCTGCAAACCTTGTTGCTGGACGAACTGGCTGGGGATGTGGCCGCCGAGGCAGCGGCTGTTGCGGTGCTGAGCAGCGAGCCCGCTGAGCTTGCTGCCGAGAAGTGCTGCGCCAAGGTGGACACCAAAGAGCTGCCACTGCTGCCACCTGCGGTGGTGCTGGGTTCTTGCTTAAACATTAAAGATGTTGCAGCCGGAGCAGCAGCTGCTGCTGCGGTTGATGTTGCTGTTGTTGTTGTTGCTGTTGCTGCTGCTGTTGTCGTTGCTCCCGCTACATTTGTCGCCGCCGACGACAGCGACAATGAGGACGTTGAGGACTGCGAGCCAAAGGGCGAGGAGGAGGCTATTAACGCTGCGGCCGCAGAGTTCGCTCCACCACCGTAAGTAACCGCCGACGAGGTTGAGGCTGTCAAGCTCGCAGCAGCCGAGGCCAGAGAGGACGAGCCAGCCTGCGACAGCGACGACAGCGCAGAAGCCGATGAGTTCGAGCTAGTCGACGAGGATGAGGGTGACGATGAGGCGTTGGTGGTTGCGGTGGTTGTGTTGGCAGTTGCCTCTGGCGGCGACAGTGGCATCTTGCGTGCCTGCAACTCGAACTTGGCCTTCAACTCTTCCACGCTGCTGAACTTGAATTTGCTGCCCTGCTCCGTCGACGGTTGCTGCTGCTGCTGATCCTCGTCGTCAGCCAGCTGATCTAATCCGCTGTGGAACGAAGGCGACTTGGGAATGCGTATACCGCCCAGTGCATAGTAGCCAGCAGCAACTGTCTCTGTTGCCTGCTGCTGATGTTGTTGTGGCGGCTCCTGCTTTACTGCGACCGCTGCTGCTGCTGCTGCTGCTGCTGTTGCGTTGCTTGTGTTGTTGTTGGCAGTCGGTTGCTGCTGTTTGGAGGTGCCGTTCAGCTGGTTGCCCGTCAACAACATAGCACCGATGACCATTTCATTAGAGCCGCACTTGGTTTAATGGCGGCGCACTTTGGCTTAATACGCGCATTTGCTAATTGAGCGACTCCTGAATAACAATCAAAACATTGAACGAACAAACAAACAAACAACCAACAACAACAGACAGGAACGATGGTGAGTAGGAAAAAGGCGACACTATTCAAGTTAATTTTTCTAATGGTTTTTCTTTTGTTTGCGCAATTTATGTTTATAGCACCTGTAAATGGAATTGCAATATATAGATTATGATTTTTTATGTATGCATGTGCGGGTAAATGATAACGAAATGAAATGCAAACCGCGAAAAGTTGATGAAAAGAAAAAAAAAATGAAGTAATTGCTGTTTAGGCAGTCTCAAGCGAGAAATTATAGACTTAGATTTAGAGACACCTATGCAATGTCAGCCACTACTGCAATACAGGCTATACTATAATATATGGACATATCCAATATGTATACAAGTACATATATTTGTGTGTATGTATGTATAGGTATGTATTTTCTATATTTCTTCATCACTTACGAATTTGTATTGGAAACGCTACCGGTTTTTGCAATGTCTAGAATTTTAGCTTTCTATTTGGTGTATAATTATTATTATAAATGTCCCAGTGCTGGACGTCCTATAACGGAAAATCTTCGCTAAACACAACTGATGTGCAACAATCAAACCCGTTTACTTAAAAAATTTTAATGCAGAGCTGCCAGAGAACCGTGTTGACTGCAGGGCAATTCGTTAAGGGCACGCAGGCAGAAAAATCGATAACATTTCCCGTGGGCGAGCACAGGATGAGCCAAAGAGAGCCATAGCGAAAGAGACACAATAAGTGGCAGGAAGAGAGCGCGCGAGAAAGTGACGGCGACAACAACAGTGGCCAAACTGCCAAAGAGACAACGAATCGAACGCCAATAGTGAACGTTTGAATAATTGTCAAGATAAGCAGTAATCGCAGAAAAAAGGTTAAAAACTCATTGCGTTGTAATTAGAGAGCGCGGGGAGAGAGCGAGAGAAAGAGAGCGCCTGAACGGAATTAGAGGGATGCGATGGGAGAGCGTAAACGGCGCGCAAGGCAACTGGCGAAAATGAGGCGGCGGGCGCAACTAACACATGCACAACTAGAACTATGTGCTTATGATAGTGTGTGTGTGTGAGTGTGGTGAAGTGTTGAGCAACCCGTCAAAATGAACATCGCTCACTTGACCTTTACGAACTTGCTTAATAAATAATAGCGCAATAAAAAATACCGACAAACAACTGCTATTCGACAGCTGTGCGGAATACGCAAATCATACATCACAATTACAAGTGTAAATACGCTCACACATACATGCACATATTCGAATAGCTGTGTATGTATGCATGCACGTGCATATGCTGTAGTGTACTTACTTTCATTCAGCGTGCTTAGCGGCGTTAATTCGCAGTTCTTGGACACATTATAACGGGTGCTGCTCTGTCGCTTCTCCTTGCGCACCAGTGGAGTGCCGGTTAGGTTCAAGCCCTTTGTGAGAGGAGTGAGTGGCGGTGCATCACGGGGCGGCGTGCTGTCCTTGTCTGTCTTGTTAGCCTGCAAATATCGAGCAAATTCATGGTCAGCCAAAACAGAACTACATATTTCCAGATGGTGGGAGCGTAGGGCAGGGGAAAGTGAAGCAACAGAGCGAAACAAAAAGAAAAAGAAAGAAGAAGACCAATCAAAAAGAAAAGCAAATAACACTTGCAAACATTTAAATTCAGTTCCCTTCGCGCAACACCTTTCCCATTACCTTGTTCTGTGCAAATCCTTGCCGCCTAAGTTGAGCTGTCGCCTGTGGGTTGTTAGTCTTGTTTTTAGTAATGCCAACAGGTAAGTGTGCACTCTCTACACATACATACACACACATATATATATATATATATATGCGTGTATGTGTTTAGTGTTGGTGAATTTCTACATAAATTTCTGATTCGAAGGCAAAAACTAAGAGTCTAATTGGAATCGATTGGGCATATGGGCACACATCGGCGGTGATAAGATTAGATATGCATTAGTGCGCTTAGGTTGGGGCCAGAAGGAAGTTATACACTATATGGAGGCACGACGAGACTAACACATAGATCGTTCTATGATTGACGTCAATCATTAAACATGCTATATTCGCGTCGGGACATTGGAAATTTGTTGTGTTGCAGTATTACTAATAATCATTTGCATATTCAGTTGTATAGAAATAGTTAGTCAATATCATATGAGATTTATAGGCTGGAATTCTGATTTATGATTTCTTTCTAATATTGAAATATGCAAATATTATTAACTAAAAGTGACAAATGTTTGACAACGAATTGTGCACATATATTATGTACATATGTATGTAGATACATTATATCGAACAACATTTATTACTCACCTCGCTTTTGACGGGAGTAGCAACGATTCCGCTGGTCACAATAATCGGGGTTGTTGCTGTTGCTGGAGTTGTTGCTGTTGTACTAAAGCTACTGTTATTCTCTTTGATACCGTTAGAGGCGGTTGTGACTTTAATAGTGTTGTTGTTATTTGTTGTTGTTGTGGCCGTCTCGCTTTTGGAGGGCGCTGTCGCCTCTATCGCTGACGCTGATGACACCGCCGCCGCCGCTGTTGCCGCTGCTGCTGTCGTGGTTTTTGTTGCTGCTTCTAACGCTTCGTTATCCATAATACGCTCTCAGACTTATCTGCTGCTGCCGGATTGTACTGCTTCTACTGAATTGACGTTTAACAACACTAACAACAACAGCTGTGGCCGCAAACAACAGAATTAAGAGTTTTTAAAATACTCGTTTTAAATTTCTATTGCTTTTTCTTTTTGTTCTCTTAATTGATTTGTATTTGATAATTCAAGCTCCACCGCTGTGGACATGTTGAGAAGAAAATTAACATGGCAATAACGTAAATAATGTTAGACAAAAAATGACAACAACAACATGCAGAAAACTTTACGGTCATCCAATACACGCACACGCAAACACACATAGTATTCTGCGGGGTAGAATGAAAAGCGCTACTAGTAAGAGACAAAGTTGTCACACATCAATACCAAGCCGAATCCGGTTCTAAACGGTTCTAAACACATTCAAGAAGTTGCACTCAATCGGTTTCGATACAAATACGTTGATATATGTATCTGTGTATGCATATGCTCTGAGTATAAATACTAATTGGGATTATTTTAGTTACAAGGTGCAAAGGAATTGCTCATAAGAGAATATTTGACTTTCGGCACTTCCGTAAAATTGCAATCCGAAAATAAATAACAAAACATCAAAGCACACAGACGCAATGCGACAGCAAGCAACAAGTTGCGAAGCAATGGCCGTCGATTAGAGTTGCCAGACTCAGAATTCATCCCAGGCCAATGCGAAAGTCAAGTGTGTGTGCGTATGTGTATGTGGACAACAACGTTTGTTGATATTCTTAGGGGGGAGTCGCGGTGACTGAGCGGCTTGTTGTTGCTGGGCCGTTCAATGCGCTGCACACAAATATATTGTTTAGACCCACTGACTATACATACGTATAAAAAAAATACATCAGCAATTCGTATGTCAACTTTGAAAGAGCAAGGAGGAGGGCTACAGCTGCCCTCGTAACATGGGCGAAACAGAGAGAATGAGAAATGAAATGAAAGTGTACTGTGCATAATTAATAGTTGCAGCAAAAAGTCAAGCCAAACAATAATAGATATGAATAAAAAAAAAAAAAAAAAAAAAAAAAAAAAATAGAAAAAAAATTAAACTGTATGTGTGAATGTCAAATGGGGTAGCGTTTTGGGCTGGTTTAACAGTAAGGGGGCCGTCTATTTACCGCTAGAAGCTGCAAGATCTTATTCCATTTGCCTCTACTGCGATTTAACATTAAATATTTTGCTGATTAAAGATGTATTCCTGTTAATGTTTTTACGTAAAATGTGAATTCTAACACACTCTCACACACATACACATACACTCACAATCGCAATTGCACTGTTTTCTCGTTTATTCACTCAAGCTCTCGAGGCTGGGATATTTCTATGTGAATTTTTTGCGCTTCACTTTTGTGCCATAATTTTCATTCTCCGATTGCGAATTTTACAAGACTGACGCACAGAAATCACGGCGCATTATCATCACTCTGATTTTTGGTTAACCTTTTTATCAAGCACACTTCACATCAGGGGCTAGTTAAATTATAAATTATTATTTTTGTGAAATATTTTGTTCACGCAACGTCGCTGGCAAATAGAACTAGTGCTGCCAGATAGACCAAGATGTTATATTTTTTAGTATCGATGTTAATATTTCTCCAAGCCAGTCTTATCGATACATAAATTATTATACATCGATATTGCAACAATTGATTGCTGACCCAAGATTGCTTATTTTTATAGTGACAATTTTATTGTATACATTAATAAGTAGCTATTAATATTTGTGCTTTAAATCATAAAAAGATTAATTTGCACTCGATAAAATGTAATTAAATTTTTTTTAAACTTAACAATTATCAGTTAAATATCGATTTGATTGATCGATTAATTTGGAGTTTATAAATTTCATATATATTTTTTTAATTTGACTACTAAATTGAATTAATTATGTAATCAAATTTATGCCGAATTCTAAAACCTATTAGGAGTTTAATTAATGATCAATCACATGCACGAAAATAAAAACTAATATAGTGATTCATATTAAAGAGAGGAAGCGTCATTTATTTTATTTGATGACACTTGTTGGCCTACTTCTAAATTGGCAATGAATTACATTTTATCGATGTAGATAAGAATATTTGAAGTATCATAAATATCGGAAGAGGCTTGCATCACTAAATTGCAGATGGCAACTCTTAAATGCGATTTTTTGTTTATAAAATAAATAACTTGTAAAAAGTTGACACACACAACAACCGTCATGAAAATAATAATTAAAGTGCTTAAGGGCAAAGATTGCACACTTGAGGTAGGTTTTTATTTCCTTTATATGCTAAGAAATGTTGAAATGTATTTCTCTCATTGGCCAGGTGTCGCCGACGTCCACGATTCAGGAGTTGAAAGAAAAAATAGATGTCGCTCTACAAATTCCCGCCACAAATCAGAAACTCCTTTTGCTTGGTCGACCATTAAATAATGACCAGACAATTGCATCCTATCCAAACATCAAAGAGGGCACTAAACTTATTCTTGTCGTGATGAAACCTGGATTACGGGACTGCATTCATCGTGCATTTCGCAAATACTATACGGAAGCTCAAGCGGAACGGCTGACCAACGAATTCATGACAGATTTCGAGGCAAAATTGAAGGAACAGAGTTTGGACGATTTGGAACGTTTCGCTGATAATTGCTTATAAATCTGATAAATCTATCAACATATTGACGCTGAGAAGAATACATATTTTACTTAATTTTATTTAATTGTTTCCCGAGCATTGTAGTAAAAAATTATGACAGTTGATTTGAATAACTTGTCATACCCGATTCGACTTTAATTTCGAACAGCGTGGCAACTCTATGCTTTGCATTGGCAATTGAGTGAGTGTCAGAAATGCAGGCGTGCAATTTTCTTAGCCGAGTTGTTAACTCTACGAAGCCGAACGTGCGATCTTTTTCTAGAACCCTTGGAGCTATGGTTAAGGTAGGCAGAGCGCTTGTCATTATTCGAAATGAATTCGCACACAATTTTTAAAATGTAAAAATTACATAAGCATAAGTAGAGGGCCCTCATAAATATTGATTGCGGCGGCAGAGATGTCACAAAGTGCACTATATCAAGGTTACATCAGTTCTATTACCGTTAATGTGTTTGTATGTTTGCATATGTGTGCTTCAGGTTGGAGATAAAGTCCCGTCCGTAGACCTCTTCGAGGACTCTCCAGCGAATAAGATAAACACCGGCGAGCTAACGAATGGCAAAAAAGTGATCTTTTTCGGTGTGCCCGGTGCATTTACGCCAGGTTGTTCCAAAGTAAGTTTTCAGAGCACAAAAAGATTATCGATTGAGAGTATTATGAAATAATTAATTGTCCACAGACTCATTTGCCGGGCTACGTAAGTGGAGCAGACTCTCTTAAAGCCGAACAGGGCGTGGATGAAATTGTTTGCGTCTCTGTCAACGATCCGTTTGTGATGTCCGCCTGGGGCAAGGAACACGGAGCAACTGGCAAAGTACGTATGCTAGCGGATCCTGCTGGCCTCTTTGCATCCGCATTGGATGTGAATATCGATCTTCCTCCCTTGGGCGGTGTGCGATCCAAGCGTTACTCTATGGTCGTAGAGAACGGCGAGGTTAAAGAGCTAAACATCGAACCCGATGGCACTGGCCTCAGCTGCTCGCTGGCCAACAACATTGGCAAGAAGTAAAATGAATCACACAATAATAATAGTGCCGAAATATCATGTTTTCAATTACTAAACAGCTATATAGAGATTTAAAAAAAATGCAATTAGATGAACTATGCGTAATGAATGATTTTGTTTAATATCTAGTTGGATTAAGGTGTTAATTTTATCTCTAACGGTTGTCGGTGTTGGGTGCAATCTTCTGGGAGAGCAGCTTGCCATAGCCGCCTCGTCCTGCATCGTAATCTGTTCTATATTCGTCTCGAACCTGTCCGCCGGTTTTGCCGCGTCCATATTGCCGGCCCTCTACGAATCCCGCGTCCCAGTCCACACGAATCAGTCGATCGTCCAGTCGCGTACCATTCACGAATCTGTAATGCATAGTAACTTTGCAATTTTAGTAATTTTGTTAAATTTTGTTATTGTTGTTTATTGGAAGTGACCTCATGGCAGCTTCTGCTTCAGCTCGCGTGTAATATTCCACAAAGCAGAATCCACACGGTGTCTTTTTATACTTGTCCAAGCCCATCACAATAATGCGCACATCGCCGCAGCGCGAGAAGAGCTCGTGTATTTGCTCCTCGGTTGTGTAAAATGATAAGTTGCCTACATAGAGTGTACTGGAGTCGCGCAACGACCGCTCCTGTTCCGACCGTGAGCCCTGAAAAAGTGTGATCAAAATGATAAATTTTGAATCAACGTATCATTGAAGTCGTACTTACCTTGAAGTGTTGATCACGATATGAGCTCAAATCTATAGACGCACTCATATTATTTTTCAATTCGACTAATAAAACAATGCAAACATAAATTGTTAAGTTTTTTTTTGCTTAAAAGTAATGTCAGTGTGTACACACTTGAATTGATAATGATGGAGTAGCCTTATGCTACAAAGCAAATATAATTTTCCATTGAATGGTCACACTGCCCTCATAAGAAACAGCGTAGCAAAACAAAATTCACCTTCTTCGGCCAACTAAAAGACCAATACAATTAATTCTAAAAGTGCTCCTTTAAAGGTATTGAAGAAAGCAAAATACTGGTGGTAATCAAAGTAAATAAAGTAAAATATTTACCATGACGCGAGGTCCAGAAAATCAAACAAATGTTGAACTTTCTCGAAAGTAACTTTTATATGCACACACTGCTCTATAAATATGCGCAACCAGGGCTACGTACACTCACTTTTTGTCTTTAGTTGTTGTGGGCACACTCGCATAAGAAACAGCGTAGCAAAACAAACTATAATCGGCTGCCAAGCTGACAAAACAGAAAAAGGTATTAAATGCATACTTCTCATACGAATATCGGCATTAAAAGGCAACTCCGCTATCGGGGTGATGTCAGCGGGAACATCAGTCACATTGAGGTACTGCCGGCCGAAGAAGCCCACAAACTGCCAAAGGTCAAATCGCCAACAGCTGCGGATGACGTTGGCGTTGCAACAACGGGTACTCAGCACCGCCTCTTTAACGGTAAATATGACTAATCGTAGAATCTATGATTCTATCTGAATGGTTTCTCTCACAGCTGGCTCAGAGACTAGCACATTTTATGACTTCTTCAAAGTGGAAATGACACGCGGCTATATGTTAGAGCATGACGAAGAGAGGTATTCTGCACGCCGGCAAAAAATTTACAGTTTCATGCGCATTCCACGAGATCTGGAGCGCTTTATGGTTTACGGGATTATGCAATGCGCTGATTCCTTCCTTTATATTCACACATTTCTGCCGGTCAGATTTTTACTTGCCGTGTGGTCACTGCTGACACGGACTGTTGCCCGGATTTTTCGAATGCGTGGCGGCGGTCAGCGACTGCTATCTCCCGCAGAGATTTGTGATTTGCTCAAGGGCACCATTTGGATAACGGTGACATTGATAATGCTGCTCGTGGACACGAATCGCGTCTATCACATCATCAAATCCCAGTCAATAATCAAGTTGTATATATTCTACAATATGCTCGAGGTGGGCGATCGTTTGCTCTCCGCCTTTGGTCAGGACACGATTGATGCGCTCTTCTGGACGGCTACGGAGCCAAAGAACTCAAAACGTGAGCACTTCGGAGTGCTAACGCATATTCTCTTTACTCTTATTTATGTGTTCCTGCACAGCGGACTCATCATGTTTCAGGTTAATCGAAATTCGAAAATTTACTTTATGCTTTATTCCTAAAAAGCAGTTCTATCACTCTTGCAGGCAACCTGTCTAAATGTAGCCGTTAATTCGAACAACAAGGGTCTGCTCACCATTATGATATCGAATAATTTCGTGGAGCTCAAGGGATCGGTATTCAAGAAGTTCGATAAGAACAACCTCTTTCAGTTGACCTGCAGCGATGTGCGCGAACGCTTCCACTTAAGTGTGCTGCTGTTCATTGTGATGATACAGACGATGAAGGAGTTCGACTGGAGCATCACCCAGTTCTGCGTCATGTTGCCCGACTGCTTTGCCGTGCTCTTCACCGAAATACTTATCGACTGGGTGAAGCACGCGTTCATCACGCGATTCAACGAGCTGCCCGAGAGCATCTATCGGGAGTACACGACGAGCTTGGCTTACGACATGACGCAGACGCGCCAGAAGCACGCCTTCTCTGATCACTCGGACCTGGTGGCACGTCGCATGGGCTTCATACCATTCCCGCTGGCTGTGGTACTCATCAAGGCCATCTATACGGCGGTGTCCTTCCACAATTTGGCTGCGTGGCTGCTCTTTCTCCTCGCCTACCTATTCGCCCTGGGTCTACGCATTTGCCTGACTATCTGTGCTCTGGGGAAGGCGTGCAAGCTGATGAAGGAGCATCAGACGGAAAGGAACACTTCCACGCCCAGCAGCATGACTAATGTGCCCGTGATTGGAGCAACGCCTGCTGGCTTTCCCACCTCCAATGTGCAATTGCTCAACAACAACAATGTCAACAGCAGTGTCAACAACGGGTCTTCCTTCAAGCCAACAAGTGCGGCCACTTTGCCTTTGGAGCCAGGTCTGAATTTCTCGCGTGCCACCTCGACCTCCACACCCATGAAGGGGTCCTGCGAACAGGAGTTGGATGTGACCAATTCGCTGGAGCTGGGTGCCACTGCGCTGTTCTCCAACAGCGACGTTGACCTGGATGATGTCTGCCTCAATGAGCAGGTGACGAATGCCAACTCCAATGCCAATAATCAGGAAGTCTATCAGGATGAGGAGCTGGCACGGAGCGAGCCGGACCTAATGCAGCTCAGCGATGCCGTTGGGGCTGTGGCCAGTGTCAGTGCTCACCTAGACCGCGCCAAGGGGTTGCCCAAACGGACCCACAAGCGCTCCGAGTCGGAGCCATTTATGGGCGTTCAGAGTCTCAACGAGAAGCTAACTACTCCAGTTTCTGGCAACAACGCAACGTAGCTTTAACTGATTAGTTAATTATAAATTTGTATTTTGCGTGTGTCTGCTGTAAATCGGGATGGGAAATTGGATTATGTGTATGTATGCCTAAGTAAAATGAATTTATATATGCATGTATGTTATCAGTTAAGCTGACTATGTTCTCTATAGGCCTAAGCGTTCTTTTCACTTTAAGTGTGATTATTTTAATTCATGCAGTAGCAAAGAAAAATAGACGAAATTATCTATCAGGTTTCAATTGTATTTCTATTTCAATTCAAATTTGAATAGTAACCCGCTAACCAGGGCTGCGTTTTTATATGTGGACAAATTTCCAGCTCTGTCGTTTGCTGTTAGCTTACATTAACATCAGCGGATGTCAATGATTGATTAACAGACAGAGCTGTTAGTTAACATTAAAGGTAACTTGTTCAGTCTTTTGACAGTGCGCTGCAGTGGCATGATTTTGTTTTCAAATGTAACAGCTCGCGGTGACTGTAAGACAATTTGCAGCTGGACTGAGCTGATAGTTAACAGACTTAATTGCACTGTTAATTGTAGTCGAAATTTAATATAATCTAGCATACTTTTTAGGCACTGATTAAATATTTGTTCGAATTTTTTATACCCTGAACCCATTGAAAATGGGAAATCAGGGTATAATGGTTTTGTGAAAAAGTATTTAACGGGCAGAAGGAGGCGTGGCAGAGTCCACAAAGTATATATATTCTTGATCAGCGCGACGAACTGATTCGATATAGCCCTGTCCGTCTGTCCGTATGAGTGCGTCGATCTCAGAAGTTATAAGAGCCAGAGAGCTCAAATTTGGCATGCATACTCGTGTGTGCCATACGCAGTACGAGTTTGCTTTATTTTTTCGATAAATCATCCGATAACTTTTTTATCGAGAATAATCGAAAAATTGTTTTTGTTTTTTCAGCCTCATTAGAATACTATTAGACCTGGAGACTTCAGATTTACTGTGTATATACATATGATGAATACAAATATTTTGTAATTTACAGATTTTGGATACCACGCCCCATTCGCCCTCAATTTGTAAATAGTTACACAGTCATATTCAATTTATATGACTATTCAATATTTGAATATTGTTGATTTTACTCGGAAAGCTGCCATCAATTATAGGTCGCACACTCTCACAATTTAACCGGAAATGGCTGTCAACTTGCTCGACTATTAGGTTAACCTTTAGCCATTCGTTGCCTATTTGTGTGGGCTGCCCAATCTCGCCGGCCATTGCTTACAATGCTGGAACGATTTCCATGGTCCGGCAACTGGCTGTGTGGCAACCATGAGTCAGTGCACCCTGGCAGGGCGCTTACTCATTTAGCTAAAGCTGCGGGTGAAGTTAAGTAAGATGTGTACTCAACAAGGGTCGATAGAGGGGGTGAAGGGGTTGCCGAGGGGGTGCCCTGTCAATGCTGAATGGCATTTCATGAATGAAAATGGCTTTATTCGCTGGCATCGTGTTTACACGCGTAGAAAAATCAACAAGCTACAAATAGCGCGCTTTTACCGTTAGCTAAAAGTGGCGCAGCGTCCTGCTCCGCGGCCCCTGAGGCTTGCACGCGCGTGTACACAGAAACACACACACGCACATGCACACACACTCACCCGCTCTTACTCGCACACATGTGTACTGTTACATTTACATTCAATTTACCGCTATACACGCAACGCGCCGTTGGGCGTTTCATTTTTATGAATGAAATTCTACGCTGACCTTGAGCGCAGTTACGTCAGAGCTGCTGTTCGGGGTAGCTTTCCAGCTCCATCTCACACTGCCCTCAAATACATATGTGCATATACATATGTAGTATGCTTGTATGCGTTCAGCGCGCATGTCAGTCGGTTCGCGCTATTTCCCCTATTTCGAACGTCGAATTCGTCTGGGGTTTCCTTTCATTCATGAAAAGCCAACGCCGAAAGCATTTCATGAATGGCTTTGGCCAAAACTCATTTTGTGGCCCACCTCCTACTTTTCAAGGACGCGTTTGGCATCTTTATCGATTTTCTCATTTACGTATGTATATGTATTTAATGGAGGCTACATTTATGACCTTTGTACGAGAATCATTTATTAATTAAAGTAATTTGCTGTGCAACCAAAATTAATTAAGTCAATACAGAGATTTTACGTATATTAAAAACTATGTCTATGTTGTTCTTAATTTTAAAGCCGGTTCTCGATAAAATTGTAATATTTGTAATTATATATTGTACAAAAATTAGACAACAGTATTGCTTGTATTCATATAATATAATAAATTTATTTTTTAATTTTGTTAAAATATTATAGATAATTCTTATATGTAAACTTTATATTTTCGTTTTAGATAATTTAAATTGTGATTTCAGCATATTCTAAGCCTATTAAAGAGTTTTCCAATCAAACAACTCTTAAGTTCCCCATACATAATATTGGATATATTTTGCAGTTTATATGCAGAAAAGTTTTCCTCGAGTGCTGTGAAAAGTGTCTCCCAAAGCAATTTCCGGCCGGCTGGCTGGCATGCGATAAATATAGCCTTGAGCGAAGCGGAGAGTAAACGCACTGAGTTTCATGAATGAATGAAGGAGTGAATAAAAAAAGGGAAAGGAGGCCGGGGCCAGCGTCAGTAGAAGTTGGGTGAAGCCACCGAAAAGCGCCCAGCGTGGAAAAGTTTCTTAGGGCAGGGCCAATGTTTTGCCTTGCTCTTGACTGGCCTTAGCCCATAATTTATTGATTTTTGCCTGTACTGTACTGGGAGACGACGCAGGCGCCCTGCAATCCAGTCAGCCAGCCAGCCAGCTGGCAGCCAGTTGGGCAGGTTATCTGTGTGGCAGATTGGCGTCACGTTTTGGGTGTTTGGCAAGGAATAAAACTGTTGCGTCACTGACGTCATAGACACTCGAATAACTGAACTGAGCATTGGAAATGTATAATATTTCAGCTTATGATAACATGAAAAATGATTTTTCATATTTTGATTACTTTTTATGACTTAACAGAGTAGGTAGATTAGGTAGGTAGATACATTATACATATCTAATTTTCATTTTAATACTAACAGAAAACAAGTTATTGCAATTGTAGAAGTATGTAACATTTTAACGAGATCACTGCTGCTTAACAGCGCCAATCTAAAGAGTCTTTTAACATAAACTGCTAGCTAAAGGCGATCTTAAGTTCGCTGAAATCTTCCTAACGCTGTATATAACTGTTACTACTGAATACTCTAACCAGTGACTGTTAGCTACAGGCGATGTTTTACATTCTAAAATAACTGCTAGCCGAGTTGATACTTGCCATAGTTAATTAACAGTTATTTGTAGCGATTGCAGGTGCATTTTTGTAGCATACTTTTGAGGACAAATGTTGGCTATTATTTATTAATTAAACCATACAGTCGGCATGGAATACTAGACGTTTGGTAGGTGCAGCAGCTCTTCCTTAAAACTGCCTGACAATGCCGCTTTCGAACTCCTGGAACCAGGCGTATTGCTCAAGATTCCTCTGAACCACGTCGCCCAAGAAGTATATATGAATGGCGACATATCCGTCCGAATCGCTGTCATCGGAGTCGTCAAACGCATAATCGATGTCCTCGTCGGACAAGTAAATGTCAATGATAATGGTGGCATGCATCAGGTAGGTAATGGCGCAGCAGAGAGCGGTTATAGACTGCGTTCGCATATACTTCCTGAACGTATCCATTGGCAACTGGCCGAGACCCTCATAGTCATCCGATGGCTCCCATAAGCTCAAATCCTGCTCAGCCTTATGCATTATGATCAATGATAGCGTCACATACAGCATGAATCCGATTACGTTGCGGATGATCTCTTTGACCAGGGAAATGGGGCTTATAGTACAAACGTTGATGCTGGCGAAGACGGTGAGAATTGTATACACGTAGAACATGATTGTGCAGAGGTAATAGGCGAAACGCGTCCATGCCGCTGGACCCAGCGGATACGAGAAGAACACCTCAATGTGGCAGAACGCGATCACAGCATTCTGCGCGAACTCGAGTGTGTTAAAGAGGAAGAGCACCGCACGCATTTTGTGGGGAAATATTATATTATATATACTCTGAATATATGTAATTATAAATGTGCTTAGCCTGTTGTAAATATTTTGTTGTCTCTTTCTGTCTGGCAGCTTTGTCATGGATGTTGACTTCGATGATTTCTAGGACTCGTCCGTTACACACGGATCGTAGCACTGCGGCTGAAGCTCTGGAACCACTCGTACTGCTCCAGCTTCGACTGCACCCACTCGCTCATGAAGTAGATGCGCGCGGGTATATAGTCGCTGCCTTCATCGTCGTCGGCGTCGTCGTATTCGTAGAAGCCGCTTTCGTTGGACAGGAGCACGTCGATGGCAATGGTGGCGTGCAGCAAGTACATCACGCCGCAGGCCAGAGAGGCAGCCGCCTGGTATCGCATGTAGAAGAAGAATGGATGCACTGGTTTCTCCACGCCCAATGCTTCATGGATATTGATGCGCAGCACGTTGAGGTCCCGCTCCGCATCCTCCAGTGTCATCAGTGAAATGATCACGTACATCAAAAAGCCGATCACATTGCGCACGACCTCCTCGCACAGGGAGAGCCGGTGCCCGGTGCAGTTGTCGATGCTCGCGAAGACGATCAGCACCGTAAAGGCGTAGAAGCAGGCACAGTAGAAAAAGTGAGACACCCGCCTTTGGAGTGTGAGTACATCCAGGGGCTGCGAGAGAAAGCCGTTTATGTGAAGGAACATGAGCGCCAGGTTAAATATGGTCTCGATGGTGTAGAACTGAAATAGAACCGCCCGCATTATGGCTCGATCTTTTACACTCTAGAATACGCCACAAATGCACACACACACACACACGCCGTAGACGAAGACAGCTATATGTGTGCATATATACATACATGCGTATATACGTGTGCTTATGTGTTTTTGTGTAATTCTCGTCTGACAGTTTTAGTACAGTATGTTTGACACGCTTTTGTTGGCTCCAACTGAGGCTAAGGCAGTTGAAAGTGCTTCTCGCTCATCATAAAAAAACCACTTCAGAGTTGCCCCGTTGCCAATGTTGTGGTTCGTGTTGTTGTTGCAGTTGCTGGTCCTTGTCGGACTGTTGCTGCTACTGATGTTGCTGTTGTTGCTGCTGGTGGAAACAGTAGCAACGTTTTGCTGCCAGTTTGATGTTGTTGACGGCCCGTTGACGGCGATTATGTTGATGACACACAAGACCGCAACGAATTTACGCGCAATTCTCCATCGCTCCGCCAGCTCGAGTGGCAAGCGGTAAGCATTTGCATTTAAATACACACCAGAAAACGTTGCGAAAATGTTAGAACACATTTAGCTGAAGCATTACATAGATACTCCTCGATTGTTATCGATTGCACTTTCCTCTGGCAGTGTCGTTGCCAATTAGAATGTCACTGCTGCCAGTGCTGCCATCTCAGCAAGCTCTTCTGTTATTTGTAGAATTAACTATCGGATGGAATATAAAACAAAATGATTTCGTTTTCCTCCATAAATAAATAAGTTAACTAAATTAAATTATTTTAAGAAATAAATAATAAAAAATGCTCGACGTCAATGAGCTCTTAACATTTTCGCGCTGGTGCATGTCGATGGCCAAAAACACTGAACCCACACTCATGGCAAAAGCAACAACAACCGTGCAACGACAGTAGCTGCAGGAATATAACAAATCGGCTGCCGTTGTTGTTGTGTTTGTTGTGGCTGTTATTGGTGTTGTTGTGGCTGGCAGGCACTGTTTAGCCGTTGGATGTGTGCAAAGTAAAAGGGTTAATTCATTTGGCTACAGCTGAAGAGCCATTCTGACTGCGTCATCTTGCCAAGAGAGACGTGTATTTTGGTGTTGTTGTTGCTGTGGCTGTTATTATTTGCGGTGGCGGCGGCTGCGGCTGTGGCTGTGGCTGTGGCTGTGGCTGCCGTTGCTGCTGCGGATGCTGCAATTTTGACAAGCAAACAGCGCTTAAGCAAGTTAAGTGGTTGCGAGCAGCACAAAAGCCGTTCGGCGTTTGCAACCTTTGCCTTTGCCCAAGACGAATTCCAGGGATCAACACCGCCAAGCAGCAGCAGCAGCAACACAGTAGTCAACTCAGCCCATTGCCAACGTCATCCTCATCCTCATCCCGATCGTCAGAGTCACAATTAGAGCTGTGTCGCAACGTTCTGCGCAAGTTCTTTTGAACGGCTCTTTAAAATGAACCCCTCATGTCGTTCATGCAGAAGGAGTTCCAGCTATCGATTATGAATAACTGAATACCTTATCGCTCAAGACTGACTCATTTCGATGTATCGCTTTGTATCGCTGTTGAGACTGAGCTCGTGAACAAAGTGCATGGCTCGCAATTCAACAATTGAACTAGATTTACCATCACTAGCCAGCCATCTTCTATGCTCCAAGTCGGACTTAAGCACGTGTGCCCTTATAGTTGATTCTTCCACTCACGCTCTCCCCCTCTCTCTCACACTCTCTTTTTATGATAATTGTTTTTTTGATTTGTCATCGTTTTGTGTACACAGTGTGGCACACGTTGGCCAGTCCTTAAAGGGGGCGTATGCACTTGCGTGTAATGTGTATTAATGTGGAATGTGGCTCAGCTTTGGCGGCTGTTGCAATTAAGAGTGTTAAAAACTCTTATGTAATCGTCCGGGCTACCAAAACGCTCCAGTTACGCCCACCACCAAGGGGTTAGGCGGGCCACATGCCATTACAGTGAAATGCAAGTGCATAAATAACAATTACAGCTGCACCACTGCACTACTACACCACTAGCACCACCGTCAGCATCCACCAACAACAGCAACAGCAAAAACGGCGAACGCTCAGGTGTCAATTGGGGGCCGCGCGTTGTCCGGCGGCCATTTTGCAAAGCGCATTTGCTGATCGCCATATACACATACATACATACATACATACACATGTATGTATATCGACATATAATGCCCGTTGATTATTATGTTTACACTTGGCTTGCAATTTCACGGACTGCAATCATTTTGGCCAACAGTGCGGCTCCCATATAATGAACCACTCGGGCCAAGAAATCTCAATGCAAATCAACGGCAATTAATAATTCATCGCCCGTTGGGCTCCTAGCATGGCGTCATAGCAATTACATGGCCGCAGTGTGGAGGAGAGCGACAGGAGGAGAGAGTGGGAGAGAGCAGTAAGCAATAAAACGTCAGTAATCTAAATGCGCAACGAGGGCGGCCTCTAAAGTGCTGAGACTATCTGTTTATATATGCATATACATACATCATTCATAATCTAGCATAGAAATAAAATACAAAATAAAACTATATTAAAAAAAAAAAGTTTGAATTATATTAAAAATGTTATACAATCAAAAATTATAAATAAATAATAATAATAAATTATAAATAAATAATAAACCTGCAAGGCCTTTTCAGCATTATGCACACATACGTACACACACAGGTTTAAATATACATACATATATGTATTCCACATTTTTCCTTTTTCCTTTTCTTATTGGAATTGTATGCATTAACTTAAATAATTTGAAAAAATAAGATTAAATTACAAGTTCATTAAAATTTCACATGAGCTTGATAAGTATGCAGTACAGCTCATCATTATTATTTAGCATCGATATGCGATAACTCAGTGCAATTGTCTATCGCTATTGTTACCACAGCTCAGTTTCCTCGCGACTTTCTTCGAATCCGAATACTTTTTGAGTCCATGCTCGTTTATCTGTCCATATCGTTGTCTATATTCAATAAAATAAATTTAATATGCAAAACAGGCGGGCAACTGCCGCAGTGGCCGCCTGTCGTTCAATATCAGCAAATTTGCAATAAAATATTTGTCTGGCCCCGGTGTCCATTCAGAGTCGGAGACTTGGTCTCCAGCTCCAGCTCCAGCTCCAGCAGTGGGTCGTCGAGTGCTGGCTACTGAAAATTATTTATTCGCACCTTTCGCCGCCACCGCCGCCGCCGTAGACACCGCTGCCGCCTGTCCCCTGCCCGCACCGCTGCCTCCATCTGGATGCGGCCTGCATTGGCCCAGTTGGAGCTGCATTTCCATTTGCTTATCAAATCGCTTGCATCGTGCAAAAGAAATGCAGGGCAAATATAAATATTAGTGAGCTGGCACCGCCGGCTGCCGGGAACGGAGGGGCGTAGACATAAAGACCGATATGCGATCGGTCTATGAAATTAGGCGCTAGCTACAGCCATCGGCCCCTTCGGCTACTCCAAGCCTGTCTCGCGCATGAAAAGTGTGAAAACGAATTAGTGCACAGGCAACCTCGACGGCGAGGCAGTTGCCACTGCACCGATGCATCGATGCACCGAGGGGCAAAGTGTGTGGGCCGAGCATGTAGTAGGGCAGTAAGGCGCAATGAGCGACTACCAATAAAATCTATATACATATATGTATGTATGTATGTATGTTTATAAGGAGAAATCTCTTAGCCTCTCCTTCCGAAGTGGAATATCCCAATCGACACAAATCTCTATGTGAATGTTATACGCTCTTGGCATGAGAGCTGTCGATTTAAAATCTATTCTAGATGTCAAGCTGTATCTATGTACTATCTGCATGCATATGTATGTAAGTCCATGTCTGCAGCTTAATACGAAATCAATGAAATTAAGGATTTTTAAATGTTGGCCAATTATTTTAAATAAATCAGTAAGAACGATTTTACATGTACAGTGGCTCACAGCTTATTTCTTCCAGCTAAAAGAATGCAAGGATCTATGAAATCCAAATTAAGACAGGTATCAAAAATTAAGAGTTGTTAATCTAATGCCATTACTTATACTGAACTGACTTTTTATACCCTGAACCCATTGAAAATGGGAAATCAGGGTATAATGGTTTTGTTGAAATGTATGTAACAGGCAGAAGGAGGCGTGGCAGACCCCACAAAGTATATATATTCTTGATCAGGGTGACGAGCTGAGTCGATTTGGCCCTGTCCGTCTGTCTGTCTGTCCGTCTGTCCGTCTGTCCGTCTGTCCGTATGTTTGAGCGCGTCGATTTCTGAAGATATAAGAGCTAGAGACTTCAATTTTTTTTTAAAATGTCCGTAATTACAGCGCGCATATCAAGTTTATCATTAAAAATCGATAACTCATCCCGATCTTTTTTTATCGATAAAAAACCTTATCGAAAACCAGTTATAAAATTATATCTTCTACACCTTTACTGATAGAGTCTCCAAATTTTTAATGTATGCTTATATGCAATTTATACAATTTCGATTTTTGTTAAAATTTACCCCCCACCCTTAAATTTATCCCCTCACCCTCACTTTTGTAAAAAGCGTATTTCAAATACTAGAGACTTGTGCATTGGCAATTACATGCATATCCATGTTATAATCATAATCTGAAAGTTTCATGAAGATCGTACGTCCATAAAAAAATTATTAAACAATTAAGTTCTCATAGTAAGCGCACACTGCAGCCCATGCGTGTTTATGCGTGGGTGCTTGTGTGTGTATGTGTGTGTGTATGCGTGTGTGTGTGTGTGTATGTGTGTGTGTATGCGTGTGTGTGTGTGTTCGTGTGTGTGTATGTATGTTTGTGTGTGCGTACGTGCGTGTGTGTGTGTGTGCGTGTTTCTTGTGTAAGCTGAAAGACGCGAAAAATTATTGAAATATCTATTGCTCCAAGGGTTCAGGGGATCTCGTAGTCGAGCAGTCTCGACTAGAGCTTTCTTACTTGTTTATATTTTAAATTTAAGAAGCAATAACTGAAAAATTCCTTACGCTTATGTCAATTGGCAATTGCACATACATTATTAACTAGCCTTTAATTAAAGTATTTTTTACATAAAGTCCACTAACTTTTGGGTCGATTGTTGTGTAATTTGGCAAATATTTTACATATATATATTGAAATCTGGGCTCATGATAGTAGCAATAGGCGCTCGCTGCTTAAATTATTTGAAGAGCAAAATATTATTCTGGATACGAATTCTACCAGCTCGTTGAATATTTCTGATACTTCTGATTTGATTTACGACAATTTCTTCAATATATTTTAAATACTAAGTCAGCTCACGCTTAGGTCTACAATCAAATTGACTTAAATTGTTTTCAATTCGAAGTATTTTATGTAAAGTTTCTTAGCTCATCTTTACTTTAATTTAATTTTTTATTAGGAACCTAATCATGAATCTAATAAAAGGCTAAATCTAACGATTTTTCTTTTCAATGTGTAGTATTTCTTCATACACTGTACTTATATATAGCTGCAGCTATGTTCCTAACAACCTACAGCTGATGGTTACCTATATAGGCCTATACATATCTCGATATACTTAGATTAGCTTCGATAATTCTAGATCTTCCACATTATCAAGCTATTTTCATTTGAAGAAAAGTTTTATTGAACTATCGATTATGTGAGGCTCTGTTAGGATTAAGCTCTATCAGGAAATATGTACCTATCTGGATGCTGGATTCGACGCTGCGATATTACTATCAGCTCAACAGAGGTAGGCCAAGATTAAAGAGGCCTAGTTAGGGATATAACCTCGATTTCTGATAAGCTAGAACAGTCTGCTAAAGCCTAGTGAATAGGTTCAAATGCTAATTTGAAATGGAGGCGAGGAACAACTATAAATTAGATAATAATACTATTTGTAAGTTACCTTCTCTAATGTGAAGATGTATAAAGATTGGTTTCAATTGATATAAATTTTTTGCCAAACTATTACTCTGAAGTTCGTTGAAGTATCTTAAAGTGGCCAAGTGTCTGGCCCACCTGTTGGCTGCTTAGTTGGGCTGGCAGCTGGTCGCTCCGAGCAGAGCTGGGCAGCAGCTGTTTGACTTGCCGCAAGAGGTTTTTGGAACACATGTTGCATGCAGCTTGTTGCACACTGTGCTCCACAAATGCCAGTCAAAGTTGAATTGTCACTTGTACATGGGCGCCCAATAATTATAACAATGGGTGGGCCACACACACACACACACACACACACACACACACACAGCCAGCTGTAAACTGTGGCATGTTCACAAATTTGTCAGCATTCCACGTTGCTGGCCGCGATGACAAAACGGCCGCCCGAAAGCGATGAAGTTGCCATGACAAATTTTGCTGTTGAAAATCGTGTTGCGTGTTTGTCGGAGTCAGAGACGTAGATGGAGCCACATTGCGTGGCGCATTGCGTGGAGTCGTGTGGCCGCTTATAGACAAATCGCCACATGGCGGGCGGCCAATTAGCAGCTGGACTGGGCGCCGAGGCTGAGCAGTGAAAGCAAAGATCGGGATGGTCGGTGGCTCAAATGGCTTAAGCATTTATTGGTCGGATTCGGCCTGGAGAAAGATGAACTGCAAGTTCGGCATGTGGCTGTCGTCGAGGGGCGTGTCCAGCAGCTCGAGCGTCGTCTGCATGGTGAACTGCGCCCAGGAGAAAGCAGGAAGAAGGAAGAAGAAAGAAAGACTCTAAGTGAAAATATATGTCAGAGGATAAGCGATGCCACTTACATTCAGTTTGAACTCCTTGTGGAGCAGCTCACCCTCCTGCAGATAGAGTCCCAGTGTCGGAGTGCCCAGGCGCTGGATGCACCGCATGTTGAAGAGATCAAAGAGCACCTTGGTCGTCAGCTGCGTGCAGCCAATCAGGTAGAGCTGGGTGAGCATCGGGCTGCCGTGGACGAAGTCCTTCACCTGCTTGTCGGTCAGATCCGGGCAGTGGCAGAAAGCCGCATAGCACAGCCGGGGCCAGCTGCCCAGGGTGGTGACATCCAGGCCTGCGAACTGGCAGTCGATCAGCATCAGGCCATCCAGGCGAGGACAGCGCTGCAGCTCCAGGCCGTGCAGCCAGTCGACAGGGCCCAGGCGGCTGCCATTGATCTGCAAGGTTTTAATGTCCATTGTGCGGCGATTCAGCACCAGGGACATGACCTGGAGTGTCGTCTCGGCCGGGGCGTCCTGCTGCAGCAGCTCGAGGAACTTCAAGTGGGGTAGTTGGAATATCTCCGAAGCGGAGTCCTCCTTGACGGCCACCACGGGCAGCGTCAGCTCCTGCAGCTTGGCGCTCTTCGAAATGCCGGTGACGTCGGTAGTGCCACGCCCCAGGATCTGCAGGCACTTCAAGCGGCCGCAGCCCAGCCAGATGGCGGCGAGCGCCTCAGTGGAGACGTCCTCGTGCAGTGCGAGCCACTTGAGCCGGCCGAACTGCTCGAAGAACCCCCACTGGAGGGGCATGTGGAGCTCGAGCCGATGCAAATGGGGCAGCAGCTTGGGCAGCGAGTGGAGCGGCCACTTGGCGAAGCAGTCGCCCTTGCTGCTATCCCATTTGACCACGCACTCGTGCACGCCCGGCAGCTCCTGGATGCCGCTGCGCTCCAGCAAGTTGAGCTGCCCCTGCAGCTGGTCGCAGTTGAAGCGCACGCTGAAGAAGTGGCGGCGCATCTTGCGCACAAACTGCTTCAGTGCGTCGCCCGGCAACTGCTTCTGGAACTCCTCGAAGTCGAGGCACTTGTACATCTCGCGCCACACGGCCACCAGCGCCTTGGGCAGCTGCCTGGAGCTGCGTCGCACTGTCACCTGCTCGGCCACGCTGAACTTCTCCAGCACACCGAACAGCGCCACATTTGCGTCCTTGCGCACGCGCTTGTATTTGACCTCCACCGACTTTGGGGACGCCGGAGCGGTCAAGGTGGAGCTGCTCATTGTGGGTGGACGGAGCTGCTTTATCCTCTATATCACTGTACTGTACTCAAGAGGCGCACTGGATGTGGTGTTGGAGTATGCTATATATGTAGATATGTATGTAATTAAGTTGCTCATTTGGGATTCAAGTGTTTGGATTTTAGATTTTTCAATGCATGCTGCGATAGCATTCGATATGATATACAGAATAAACAAATAATAAAACAAGTAAGAAGGCTCTAGTCGAGACTGCTCGACTAGGAGATACCCTGAACCCTCTAAGCTGATATTCTAATCATTCTGCACTTTTATGCACACATACATACACATGCATCCACTCATAAGCCTGCGCTCTGCTAACTGCGCAGTAAGCAGCGACTGCGCCTGGGCTGCGCTGCAGTGTGGGCAATATTATGAGAATTTATTTGTTGAATAATTTGTTTTGTAGACATACGATCTTAATGAAACTTTCAGAGTGTAATCATATGGTAAATATGTGTGTACATTTTAAAGCACAAGTCTCTAGTACTTGAAATGCGTTTTTTACAAATTGGGGGCGAAAGGGGCGTGGTATCCAAAAACTGTAAATTACAAAATATTTGTATCTATTAACTTTATATATAACGCAAATTTGAAGTCTCCAGGTCGAAAAGTGTTCAAATTAGGCTGAGAAAACAATGTCGATTTTGCGATTATTCTCGATAAAAAAGTTATCGGATGAGTTATCGAACAAATAAAGCAAACTTGTACTGCCTATGGTATACACGAGTATGCATGCCAAATTTTCTCTAGCTCTCTAGCTCTCTAGCTCTTATAACTTCTGAGATCGACGCACTCATACGGACGGACGGACAGACGGATAGGGCTATATCGACTCAGCTCGTCGTCCTGATCAAGAATATATATACTTTATGGGGTCTGCGATGATTCCTTCTGCCTGTTACACATTATACGCTCATTATACCCTGATTTCCCATTTTCAATGGGTTCAGGGTATAATCAGTGTAGGGCTGATCCCATGGGCCTCAGGCCATTCCGGGACGGTTGACGTCTAACTCCCTACTTGACATGAGGGCAAAAACTTGCATTCTTGCTGGAATAATTAAAAATATTTAATATCATATAAATAAATGCACTTGCACTTGCTCTTGTGTATGTATGCAACTATATGTGTACATACAAACATATGTATATATGTAATAATATACCAGATATATGCATATAAATGTCAATGGATATATGTATGTATGTTATGTACATATGTATACGACAATTACAAAGTATACACACATACTTGAATGAATACTAGAGATACATGCGTAAATATACATATGTGTGTGTGTATGTGCATACAAACAAATATAAATACAGGCTTACCTCTTAAGCCTTGATCAGACTGAAGTTAGACGGGCTTTTTGCTCGATGCGGTTGCAGCTGACACTTGGGCTCCCCCAAGCAGGCTCCATTCAGGCAATAATCAGCAGCAGCAGGAGTTGGGGCTGCGCTGGCATGCGGGGCCTCTTAAATCAAATCATCGAAGACAGTAGCTCAGCTTGAATGGCCTGCACTTGTTGCCTGCCCTGGGGGCCATCAAATTACCAGACCAGGCTGAATAGGCCGAACAGGCCAGTTGGTTGTTGCCTGTTGCCTGCTGCCTGCTGCCTGCTGCTAATAAAGCCGTAAAATTAAACGCCAAGAGGCCAGTGATAAACGCCCCAAAGATGTTTTGAATTGTTTATTTGCGTGCAAATAATTGCCGCTCACCTGAGATCGCGTTAGCTCGGCCTGAATCACGAAAATTGAAGGTTGGCTGCGTAATCGGCGGCTCCTAACGAGCTGCCATTGCGGTCGGCTGTGTCATTTGCGGGGCGTGGCAAACGAAAGGCGTGATTTGTCAGCGTTAATGAGCCGCTAATAAGAAAGCGCTCTTCTTCCATCTTCCTTCTGTCGTCCATCAAGCATTATCAGGCAACAGGTGGAGAATTGACTTCGATTCGATCCGGGCTATGCCAGCTAGCCGGTTAGCCACACTCAAGATAGATCCGAACTCTGGCCAAATGGGGCGTATTTTGGCTAATGGAAATATTTAAGCGAAAATACAACTGCACCACATTCCCGAAACGAGTTTTCGGCCCAAATGTAAACGCCCCAAAAGCGTTGCTGTATGCACATATACATACATACATGTATGTATTTATATTTCCTATTATATATATAAATATGTGTTTGTATTTATAGTTAAGTATTTCTGCCGTCTTTTTGGCTCACCCGACAAGGCAATAAATGTTTGAATGGGCCAAATCTACAAAACGCGTTTTGTCCAAAACCTTTCAGACATGGCTAAGCGATGCAGGCAAGCAAAGGCAAAAATATATATAGCTGTCAATTCTTTTATATATTTTTTTATGTATTATTAATATTTTAAACATTTTACATATATAAATAAAAAATCCAAATTTGTTTTAACTTTCAATCTATTTGGTGAGTATTTATAAATGCTTATAGATTCCTATTAAATCCATCTAATTTCTGTGTGCTCGATTCCAAGTTTGATTCAAATCTTGTCTCAAGTCTTCAGCAAATACAATAATTAAATTAAAATTCTCAGTGATAAATAAGTATTTTTATGTTTTACCATATGCTTAGTAGAGACTTTGTCATTTAAATTTCAAAAATATTTTGAGTTAGAATGAAAATTATTACTGTGATAAAAATTATGGTTTTCTAATTTGAGTAAATTGCCAGAGATAAAGCAATATCAGATGAAAAGTTTCTAAATTGAAGTCTCTGTGTGAGAGACGTCTTTGTGTGTGTGTGTGTGTGTGAGTGCCTGTGTGTGGCTGAGCTCACGATATTAATTTATTTAGCTGTCAGCTGCCTGCATGCATATTTATTCTCTTCCACAGACTGAATAACCGTTTTCCCCCATTAGTGGAAAAGTGCGATTTGATAGCGACAGTTCTGTGCCTTGTCGTCCGGCTTTGGCTTTTAACTTGGCTAAAGGCTCACTTGCGCATTTCCATTGCAAGTGTCCGAGCTGTCACGGCAGCAAAGACGAAAATAAAAGCAGAAAAATAAATCTTTAATTAACCTGCGTCAGAGCTGTGGGAAATATTAATAAAACATTTCAATTTTCACGTATGTGATTTTTCTTCATTCCGTTTCATTTCGTTTTGCCGCAAACCGTTTTTCCGGCTGACATTTAACGAGTCGCCGTCGCAGTTGAAGTCGCAGTCGCCGTCGCAGTCGCCGTCGCAGTCGCCGTCGCAGCTGAAGTTGGCTTCAAACTTGTTTGCCGCTTCGGTAGCCGGGGAGTGGGAGCTTCTCTTAATTGATGCAACAGCAAAATGTTTTGGAAACAAAGCAGAGAGATATGAGCAGCGAGGTGCCATAAATAAGAGCCAAAATCAACTGAGCGGCTCATTAGCAGACGCGGCCCCAGCGCTTGTCCAAAAAACGCACCGCGACACTAGACGCACTCCACACGGCCTGGGCCCGGGCATGTGGCAAGTGCGGGCCGCACGCTGGCCTCCTGCCTGGGGGCGCACTAAAAGCGAACCAGCTAGGCGCCAATCGAGCTCCAAATGAAAACATTGCCGCGCCTCATTAGGGGCAGCCCAGCAGGGCTGGCTTGCCTCGAAGCTCACGAATTTGGAGACAAAGTTATTTAAATTTGTTCAACTGCCCCAATCATTGCAGGGGGTACGAATTCCCAGCCCGGCATGCAACGAGCTAATGATATTCGGAACTAAGTCAATGCAAGTCCGACTCTACTTTTGATTGTTTTTTGTTTCAGAAATTTAAATTTACTGTTTGCAATTGCAGCATTCGGCAGATGAGTTTTCTGCCTAGAAAAGAATCAGATAAATTTCTTATATTCAAATTAAGGCTCAGCTCGTACTGAAAGAGTATCTAGATGCTTGCAGATATTAAACTAAACTACTGAAGAGCCCAACTGGCAAATAAGGTGAAAGTTAATTAATTTTATATATACCAACTGTACCAAAGTTGATTAATGTTGATCTTTATATAAATAAAGTAATTAACAAATTTGTTTACTTAATGTTTGGGAAATTAACTGCAAAGATCCGTAATAATATTCACGTCTTCTATGAAAATTGAAGATCATCTCTACAAATGGTGGTATAAAGCTAAGTTTATTATTGATTGAAAGAATATCTACATTTTCCGCGTTATAAGAAAGTGGAAAAGTATTTTAAGACCAAATCAATATTTTTACTAGTTCTAAATATACTAATTAAAATATATAAATAAACTTCCCTCTACTATTTTAGCGAGTTACTTTCAATATTTATTTCATACCATAATGAAAAGTAGCCGGGGAACAGAACTGCAGTTAAAGTTGATCCTAAAATAATAAATAAACGGAAGAAATTAAGAAAATATTAAATTCAAATTTAAACAAATATAAATTAAACAAGTTTAACACTATTTAAATTCATATTATTTAAGGTCTTTCTCTTTCTCATTGTAAATTTTGTGCAAATCGAGATAAAGTGAAATGGAATATATATACATATATATGTATATATATATATATATATATATATATATATATATATATATATATATATATATATATATATATATTTTTTTTTTTTTATATTTTTTTTTAAGTAAACGGAATGTTTTTGAAATCGTAATGTCGTCGAGGTCGTCAGACTTCACGCTTTCACGACGACAGATTCGCTTCACGCATATTGGATTGGACACGCCATTTTATCAATCACGTAGAATCGCGGCCATTTTGTTTTGGTCTGTTTGGGCAACAGTAGCGTTACGTGGGGCTGTCCCGCCACAGGCGCAAGCCCATGCGGACAGTGTGCGCTCGTTAGCGTTGATTTATGCGCCCAATTTGTGGCATATAAAACACGTATTATCGGAGAGCAAAAGCTAAGCCCAGCTTGCGTCCTCTCAGCCAGGATGATGGCCGCAAATTGTATTGAGAATGCGAATTGCAAACATTTTGTAGCTGAGCTAATGATCAAGCATTTACTTAGCTAGTTTATGGCATCAGCAACAACAGCAGCAGCAGCAACAACAACAACAACAACAACGCGAGCAACACTGCAAGCGCATCGCTCTGTGGTTTTATGATTGCGAACACCAAAGAGGACAGCCAACAGAGACGCCAATAGCGAAGCGTGTGTGGCATTTATGTCGCCTGTC